GTTTGCTGTAGCTGGTTCTGTACGCGATCCACCTCAAAAGGTTGAAACGACCGCCCGCGAAACTTGCCTTGGCCCGCTTGGGTGGTCCCTTGACAGGTGTGGTCTGCGATGATGGTGGTGGAGGCCGCTTGGCCGAGTCCAACTGGGAGTCGGTTGCCTGGGCAAAGAATGGACGGTGGCTTATTTCCCCCCCCATGCAGAACATCAGAATGCAAAGTGCAGGACAAGGAACCGGGAGGGTTTCCGCATCTTCCATGTTGTCGCACTCCTGGTTTTGAGATTCAGGAAGTTTGGACACAATATATATATATATAGGTTTCAGAATATGGTTCATCCATGCTGGGTATTGAAACCTTTTCCAGGACAAGCAATGTACACGGCCCATTCTCACTATGGTAGGTTTGCTTGATATACGTTTTGAAACAAAAGGGCACCACCAACGGAGTGGTTTACTAGTTGCATGTATACTATACAACAGATCGTTCAGGACATGTCCGCTTCACCCCTGGATCTCTTGTTGTAATTGAAGTTCGATCGTTGCTCTCAGAGGCATCCAAACAAAGGCACCATAGACACAAAAATATACAAGTCGTCATTCTGACCAAATTTGTGGTGGAACTGAAAGAGTACCAAACCGTATATATCGGTCTTACTACCATCAACCAACGGGATACAGAGGTCCGCTCCATTGGGACCCTCAATCTCCTTGTCAGCAGCATCGGCTTCGTGCAACAATTGTTGAAGTTCTGCCTCCAGCGCCTGAAAGCGGGGCAGAACCTTAAGCCTCCACCGATTTAAGGTTTTGACAAACAATTGGTAAAGAAAACGTATTTGATACGTTTGATATGTGCTCATACGTTTGTGTGGATCCCACCTGTTTTTTCCTGGCAACCTCTTCCGCGATTGCAGCCTTACGTTCCTCCTTGGTTTGACCTGGTTCCGCTTTCACCTGAAGCAATGCGTCATTGCCTTGCACCAAAGACCCACAGCTACGAAGCTTAACGCCAGCCATGTGGAAGCCAAGATCAGAGACCTTCTTCTACAAAAAAGGTTTGTGCAACAAGAGACGAGTTCTTTTGTTTCTCTATTCCCAATGCGTTTGAACCGAGGTGCAGGTCATATACCCAATCAGGTGTCAACTATCAATACACACCCCTTTGCAACATGCTTTGCACAGGCCCATGTTGCAATACAAATCCCTTTTTCCACAGCATTGCACATGATATTGTTGCAGTATCAATTGATACAGGAAGCCATAAAACCAGATGTTGGAATGATATGACAAAATCTGAACAGGATTGACCAGAAGTAGACAAAAAGTAAAAAAAAACTTCAAAAAACTAAAAACATCAACTTCCAAAAACTACGCCTAAATCGCATACTTTTCTACGCCTTTCCACGGGGTTTCTACGGGGTAATTATGGGTTTTCTACGCCTACGCCTTCGAGCTACGGGTTGTCACGCACCCAAAACCTGGTTTTCAAGCCTCCAGCTACGCCCATGCCAGAAATTGGATGTTTTTTTTCATATCCAATCTTTTTTTCATATCCAATATAGATTATGGAGCAGGGAATATGTCCCTCCAGTCCTCTGGAACCTGTAGGCAGCGGTTGGCCCAAATGTATTCCAGACACTCAGGAAACATGGCATCTTCGCAGAAGTCATCATATGACTGCTGAGCAAAGCAGGCACGCGGACAGAAGTCCTTGGGAACTTCTGGGAAAACCCTCCGGCCAGATTGGAGCTTTGGTAAGATCCTCAGGATTTTGAGCCCGAATTTGTATGGGTAGATCCTTGGCCGCAGGCGGTCAACAGATGACACCCTATGTTTAAAGTATCATAAAGCTTACACTAGTGCAAGTGATCAGCTTTTTGTAGGGCATTGTCTTGAAGAGATCCACAAACCATGCAGAGGCCTGTTAAAACTATAACTGTTTCAATTAATAGGAAATCCGGTTTGTATAGCAAGTGCCCTGCATGTGTGTATACCAACCTCAGTGCTTATAGCATTTCATAACACACCCATATAGGATGAGTCTGCATACAATTCAAATCGAGTTCTTGGCAAGTATGGAACTCTAGAAGGTCGATATCAATGAATATACAATTTAGTCTGATCAAAGAAACAGCAATTGAGCATATATACAAAATAATAATGGGACCTCGAAGATTCCCCCCTAAAAATATATGTTTTTGTATTCACATGCACATCACAGCGAACGCAAAACAAAACGTGTTGATTCCCAACAAGAGTCTGACTGTTCTTCAACTGTTTTATATTCCCAGTAAAAGCCTTTTTGCCATCCCGCTTTGTGGTGGTTGTTGCACACTTGGAATCTTGGTAATCCGAAGCTTTGTAGTTGAACCCACGCAAAGTCCCCAAATCTAAAAGGCCAATTGCCCTGCTATTGCTCCATCCAATGTGGCGTTTTGGAGTAGGCCCTCCATAGTGAGCCATCCACCAGCGGGCGGACCAGACCTAATGCACATCAGGGACAAAGAAACGATGGAGTGTCACGGCATCAAGAAACCACACTGTGTAGCCAATCTCGTTACACTAAACAGCAAGTTACTTCAACCATTGCTTGGGAAAAGGAAGGATATAAGCGCTGCATGTGTTCCAACCTGTATGAACTCATATATATGTCAAGAATGTTTCACCAGATGTCAAAGCCTTTTGACACCCTCCCACAACGAACCGCCACAGGGTGGGTGACTGGGTGGAGGGTTGGTTTTGATCCGGTGTCATCTAGCGCTTGCAGGTTCTCTCCAATTTCATTTGGGAGATTTAAAATTTGCTGAGATATAGCTAACACTCACTCAGGTTCAGATAGTTAGAGCAACACTTAGTTGTCTCTACACTACCCCGACCATAAACATCTACAAGAGAACCCTTTCAAAACAGGTCAGGGGGCGCGAAGGGAATGGAAGGTGTCAAAGACCCTGGGGTGAAAACGAAGCATTGATGTTCCCGGTTGCTCCACCAGCCAGGCTCCAGCCATGACCTCGATGGTCATCAGAAGCAGGCATAGCCTGGGCAACGCCATGGTCTTGGGGGAATCACTGAACAAGTGGTATAGAGACACAAAACCTACATTTCGTTTTGGTTGCAGGATGGTTTCAGTCCAGTCACCGGCTAGCCATGATATTGGCTTCTTTAACATATGCCAAATCTTCTCGACCAAGTGGATGCACAACGTGGCGCCCGGAAGTTGCCATGTTCAGCACTGTCCAGCTGGAACAAACAATGGCCAAGAGGGCTGTGAATTGTCCGTGTTTTGCATTGAGCACCGTGGTAATTGCCAACCTAGGCCCACTCGAACTCTTTCGTTTCATTGAACCACAATGGCATTCACTCTGGTGAAACATGAAAAAACTCTCAAAACCCATATTTCTGGGGAGATACGCAAATCCAGACGGCGTGAGGATGTCAAAATGATTGCTCCGGTGTGGTTTCTCAGGATCTGCTTGCCAATATTCAATGTCAAGCGAAGCAGTACTTCGGCCAGATTTGCTGACCATTTTGGACACCCAAGCTTCCCCAGCCCAAAACTCCATGAAGTCGTAGGTCTGCAGCGGTGGAGTCGGTGGAAACATTCACAAAAAAAAAGGATATGCACATATATATCCACATGTATTTATAGGTGGAGCGATTGCATGGGAACTATATGGACTATAATGACATGACCACTTTGATGTAGTTTAATTGATTCCTTCTCAAACCAATCTGTCAAGCCTCGGTGAGAGTTCGGACATTTGGTGACCACAGGAGCATCAAGATGAAAGCTGTCAGGACCTCAGCGTGGGAAAGATGTCCCCTTGGAGGAGGGAGGGCCAAGGAATAAACATCCCTATCACACAAATTGTGAATACAAGTGGCTTTGGGTGCTTTGAGGTGGTGCAACCTCCACACAACATCTCGCATGGTGAGGGGCACCCCCATGGCAGCGTACACAGATCAAAACGATCACACCGAGCCAACTTGAATGCACGAACAAACTATGGCTATTTGCAGTGAGTGCTCACATGTACCTCGAAGCCCTGCAAGAAAGACATGAGTTCTTCAATTGAAGTCTTGTAGGAAAAGAGCGTGCGTGCACGTTATATAAATGAAGCAGTACTGCTTTAAATTGATTTGTGTACATGCAATAAGTATAATAAGGAGTGTAAATCAAGCCAGTCAGGCCATCCTCTGCTTCCACGTGAGACCCCAGTCTCACTTCCCAGGCCTTGCGTTTCCCCATGAAATACCTGACGAGGCAGGCGTACGCGATTTTGGATGGTTCCTGGGTGGGTGCAATAAAGGAAAGACTTGATTGACGGTGCTGCTCTTAAAGCGCAAGCCTTTGAATTCCTACGTCGGTATAATTAGATCAATTGAATATGTCTCTATACTGTACCTTTTGTTTTGGGATGGAAACCATAACCTTGCTTCCCAGCCCAGGAAGTGCGGGAATGTTCATTTTCACGGCGCACTCAAAAGATATGCTAGTAACGGTGGGATTATGGGTCAGCAATGGCCATGTAGCCCTGCAGAAGACCGGCTTCAGCAACCCAGAGTTGCTGCAACGAACAATTGCCTGCAAGCAGCAAAACACCAAACTGCATTCTTAATCATACAGCTGAACACAAAGAACACAATTATGAGACGTCTTCAAACTTTACTTTTACTTTACCTTTTTGAAAAGGATTCTTTTAGGCAACCACTAAAGCAATTGTTGATATACCCCTGCCAGCTTCATAACTTGGGCTTCAACCGTATTGGTGTGCCCTGCCCACCGCTCCTACAGCTAGATGAGTCTGTGTGCAAACTGATGTTGCCCCTTGAAACTTCCCACAGGATAGACGTAAGCCGCTGGAACACATCAACTTTGAACACGTTTTTTAAGGGTTAGTAATTACAGCAACAAATGCTTCAAACTTGTAAACCAATTCTATAACTTTACATATTTGACATAGACCATCGTGGCCCCAGCTGCTATCAGATCACCGTATGATCTTCACTGCGCAAAATCAGTTGGGCCCTTACCCAACGCAACAGCAATGGCCACGGCTCTCACCATCTCCGCCAAAGCAGCCTTGTAGGCCTGGACCTCTTCACAATCAATGTCCTTCAAGTAGCCACTCGGCTTGTCCCCACCAACGAATCGCACCTGCAGCACTGAAATCAATTTCAATCCAATCCATGAGCGCAGAACATGATTGACTTAATTACAGTGCTTTGCAAAAAAGTAATGCTTAGCCAGCCAACTCAGCAGCAGACAAAAAGTCGAACAGCTTCCAAAGGAATGCTAACGCCATTGCAGAATGCCCCACCAAAAGATAGCACATGCACTTGCTTCTTGACCCGCTTTTGGAGAAGGCCAACTCTACCCGTGTCATAGTAAAGGGAGAGGCTCCAATGGGAGAACTGAGGACCATAATCATCACCCTTCTTGATCACAGTCTGAGCAGCTTCGAACAACTTGAGAGCATGATCCCAAGAAGCTTCATGCTTGTGAGCGTCCATGAGGTGGTTCGTACAAAATTTCACCAACGTCTTTCCTGGAATCTTGGGAGCAGGCTCTGGAGCGGGCTCTGCAGTTTCCCCCTCTTTGGCCAGCTGAGCTTGGCTCCTGTCTTCAGAAACTGCTGCAGCCTCGGCCGCTTTACCTTTCTTTGCCTTCTTCTTGGGTGCATCTTTCTTCTTCTCAGTCATGGGGGGGTCTGGCTGGGGCTTGGCAGCCGCTTCAGAAGGAAGCTCTGTCTTCTCAGCCTGGGCTTCCTCCACCATTGGAACATCCGGAAAGCGACAAGGAGCTGTAGATTTCTTCACGCGCTTTCTGTTGGGCTTGACCGGCTTGGCCGGCGACTCATTTGACACTTCAGCATCAGGAGCAGGAGCATCATCACGAAAAAGCTGCTTCCTTTCGGGGGTGTGAGCTGGTGGTCTCTTGGCCGCCACTGGTGAACCATTCTCCCCTTTGCCAGCCAGCGCTTTCGAAGATGCTGCCGCTGAAGCTTCGGATTTGCCCCTCCCTCGACCACGGCCACGACCTTGTCCACGCCCGTTTCCTTTTCCTTTCTGCTTGGCCTCCTCTGCTTCTTCTCTTTTTTCTTGGACAAGTCCAAGCTGATCACGACATAGCAGAACCTTTGCCGGCTCGTCCACCTCACGGTGCAATGTAGATCACTGAACCATACTGAACATATATCAGATATCAGCATATATAGTTGAATCAACAATAAGTTGAAATGGAAATGTGTAAATTAGGAAGAGTGCCAACATCTTTTAATCAAATTGTGAAAGTCGTTTTTGCATAGTTACGCCAATGACTTCAGAATTGGTCGAGCCCACAAGAAAAGTAAAGGCCCAGCTGACCTTCTTCGGAGTAGGTTCCGCATTCACAGCAGCTTCCTCAGCGCGCAACATGCTCTGAACTGGTGCTGGAACACCTTCAGATAAGTCCATTGGCACGGTGGAATCCACATCCGTTGCAAGTGGCAAGCTCTCTGGCACAAGCACCATCTCTGCCTTGACCTGGGCGAGCTCATTCTGGACAGGATGTGGTGCAGCTGTCCTTGGCAGCATATGTGCATATAACAACCAGCAACCTTTACCTCGCAACAATTAAAGTGACTTCAACTGCTATAACTATAAGAGATTCAAATATGGCAACGTAGCTTAAAAAGGGGCAACATGTGTTTGCGTTACGGTTTCCAATTGACAATGTCCCAGGGTCCCTTTCGTGTCATTCTCATCCAATTGCAACCTCAAAGCAGCAATTTGCTCTCGCAATTGGCGGATTTGCTTTGCTTTTTCATCTCGATCAGCTTGGGAGAGAGCTGAAGGGCCAAGCTGTAGATCCTCTCCATCGTCCTCTTCCAAATCAATTGCCACAAGACCTGTTGACGAAGAGGCTGCACCCACCTCATGGTTCATGGCCACTGACGTAGCTTGGCGCTGCAAGGGGCGAGCAACAGGCCGCTCTGGACTCCAGATCGCTTTCACAACCGTGGGTGAGTCAACTGGCGGGCGATCCGAGAGGAGATCAATATCCATCAATTGGAACAGAGAAGAGGCATCCTCCACTTCTGGTGGAGCAGGGTGCTCAAGATTCTCAGTAGACCTGGCTTCGGCTGACAAAGTGCTCTCAACCAGCTGGTCAAACCAGGCATCATCAGCTTCACTCTCGGAGTCACTTCCGCCCTCAACCTCAAAGAGGTCGCCTTCATTAATCGCTTCTCCAGCATCCTCCTCATCAGAAGCATCCCCAAAGAGGTCGTCCCCGTCCACGCGGTTGACAGGCTGTAGGGGCCAAATCTCTTACCAAAGAGTATTGAAAACAATTACAGCAAAACACAACTTGTACGTATATATAAATGCAGCAATTGGTATAGTAGTATGGTGAAATATGTCAAAGACATGAACGAGCATGCTGAGAATGTTGAGCTCCTTAAGAGTTGAAAGTATTATAGGCCTGCAAAAGAGAACTACACTTGGGATACAGAGAGAGTTCATGTGTCCAAAGCAGGAGAAACACAGAACTCGGAGGCAAGGCAGGATTGAAACAGATTAGGAAAACTCCAAAACAAGACCCATAGGTAAACGATAGAAATAATCGAGTGAACAAAAACAACTAATACAGAAAGGATTGGCCTGCGTTATAGGCACAATATCAAATAATACAATTAAATAAATATTGCGGGAATGAAGTTGAATGGTTGGTATAGAGACGAAGAGTAACACGCATATAGGTTTTGCAGTACTGCCAGACTGTGCAATGAGTGAGTGAAAAGGAAGACTCCACATATACCACACCAGAAAAGGATAAGGGGCAAATGAATAATTCAACTGGTAGACCAATGGCTGGCAAGAAAGTGAGCGGGTGCTTTAGCAAGTTTACAAAGGTGTAGTTGACATAAAATGGAAAATACCAAAAGACAAACCATCGTTTTTTGATCTTTTTTATTTACAGGCAGTGGGCTGAACATATATAAATTGATTCAGGAAAAGCAACCAAAACATAGAAGCACAAACGAAGGAACCAACCAAACGAACCAAGTGGTCCAATCCATTATAAGACGGGCATGTAACAACTCCAAAGTGCACATACATATATAGGCCAATGAACAACCCTTTAAATTTATCATCACTGGAAGAATGTTATGAGTACTACGGGTTTTGATGTGATAATACGCAGCTTCAAGACCAACATTCAAACCAGCAAGCTTGCAACAACGCTGAATTGAAACACAAAGACACATGGATGCTTATATACGGAACTTCACCTACAACTGCACCCTTTTACAGAACCCTACTCAAACAAATTTTTAGGCCCTAAGCTTTGGCCTGCAATTCCGGGTCCAGAATACGCTGAAGCCTCAGGAAGTCCAGGTCCTGAGTTGAATCTCAACTGAACTGTTAAACACCATTTCCACATCTTCTGTTTATTTCTATGCAAGTAGGCCGGACTACAAAACACATCATGTCTATTCCTGTACTATGCCTGTCCAGGCAGAAGGCTAGTTGAAACGATAGAAATGCTGTTCAAAACCAAGACTCGACTGAACCCAACTTCTTATGGGTCTTCATTTTGATGAAGGAGAGCATTGATTTGACGGTCCATGCATCGAGCTTCAGCTTATCCTTCTGGGGGACCAAGTGCAGCTTGTGTCGAAACAATTTGATCTTTGGGCGGCCATGACGAGCAAGGCAAAAAAAATAATAAAACCCCAGAAACAAAGTGAAAACAATTTTGAACCATGGATGGATGACATGTAAAGATACAAAGCTTACACAACAAAAGAAGATGGATAGCTGTTGGACAACAGTATGGTTGGTATCCGTTGTGCACAATGGTTTATACTTCTTTAAAGGGGTTGGGGTTGAATGGTTCAAGAAAAAGGTGCCACTCAAGTGGACCAGGGTTCTCCCGGGCAATTTGCTTAAGGTATGGCAACGGATGTGAGGGATGCGCAGCCATTCTCTGAAGCACAGGCGTCACCACATGCATGTTCCGGACACTATCCTTGATGCTGAACTTGAGAGGTTCCTTTTCCCCCTTGTGAGAGACAAAAAGCCGGTCCGTTGAGACGGCCACCTGCCTGACTGCTTGGTTATCCTGCCACTCCCTGTAGACGTTTTCCACGTCACAGGTGGCCCCGGGCTCCTTCGCACCACTTCGGGTTCGAGGCATGGTGCAGCGTGCTGCGTCAGAGTCGAAGCGAACTTGTGCTGATGCTCCTTTAAGTTTGAGCCGGATGGACATGCAACTGAAGCTATACACATGATTACATTCTGGGCTGCTGTGTCACACAGCCATCGCACAAAATGACGTTGTATATCGCATTGACAAAAATCACCCATCTAATGAACGACATCTCATCACCTCCCACCGGCGCCCTCGCCTTGCAGGTTCTCTGGGCCGCTGCAGACATGGAGCCCACTTGATTAAAAAGGGTCTTTGCTCGATCTGCTGGATGTTGGGAATCTCTTGAGTGGTTTTTCTTGAGATGTGGCTTGTATAAGTAGAATATCCCCATGACTTCGCATGAGGAAACAGCCAAAATGGCTTTGGAAATGGTGATCCCTCAAGCAGGCCATGACGGAGATAGGCCACAACATCAAAAACCTGGTTTTTGATATGCCAGGTTCAGATTCCAGGTTGCACATTGCAAAACCTGGTTTTCACCAAAAAACCTTCCTTTTGACACCAAAGCGGTGCCGATGGTATATAATAAATTGCATCAAATTGAACCCCTAGAATCCGGGAAGCAATAATAAATACATGACCAGAACAACGAGATCTTATATCTTCATTAATATACGTCATGACTAGCAAGAACAGATAAGGATTTAATGGACAATCTTGACGGATGCTAATGTTTTATATCTTTGACACGGATGCACCATATTGGTCTTGCACAAAGAAATTGGGGGATTGGTACAGAGCCTTAACAATATTGATAAAATGATTAGATAACCCCAACCTAGTCATGGAATTAGAGAGGTTGCAATATTGCACCTTATCGAATATCTTCTTCTAATCGATAAGGGCCATATAAAATGTTATTTCTTTTTGCTCTGACCAACCCTGCAGCCTACGTACGATATACGTTGCGTAGGACGTTGACCTCTTAGGTCTGAAAGCCAATTGTGTCTCCGATAACTTTGGCTCTATTGTTTTCTGGATCTGAATCCGAATTAAAGAAACAAACAATTTATAAGTAGAATTTAGCAAAGAGATGGATCGGTAATTCGACGGGTTATCTATTTCGCCTTTATTGTATATCGGTATTATCCTTGTTGTCAGGAGTTTAATCGGAATATTTCCAATGGTCCATCAATTATTGTAAATATTCAATAGGCGTTATTTATTTTCGTCATCAAATCACTTATACAATTCCATGATAATCTGGTTAGGACCCGGTGGTTTGCCCACTTTCGATTTTCTTAAAATTGCATTGGATATTCGGGCCAATGGGGCTTTGCGATGGAAAAGGGTCCTGGCCATAGTCATTGGTCCATTGCTTCTTTTCTAAATATGTGGCTATAATTTCAGCACATTCTTTTAGTGGGATTAATTTCCGTTGGATTTATGCAATTTTAATATATGCGGATTTGTAGTCCTTCTTGTGATTCATATTTTCTATAAATATATCCTATTGGGATCCCTTGGATTGTGTTGAAATTGATTTATTATATGCCGTTTCTTGTTAGCCCTGGTTCCTTTCTTAATCTGTTGTTCAAACGAGTTTGTCTGAATTGAAAAAGGTCCTAGGTGTTTCTGGAAAGATAATTAAATGTTCCACGGGATCTCTGTCTAGATAGGATCTTGGGCAATGGCACTGGAAACGGCATTGTCAAGATTTTGCCATGGATGTTCACGTCGAATTGATGACAGGCATAAAACAATCACAAATTCATTATACTGTTGCCATTGTCTACGGATAGGTTTCAATATCTTTGGAATAGAATTCCGGGTTTCTGAGATAGCAATAAGTCGCATTCTAATTTGCATTTCAACAAGAAAGTGGTCTGTATGCAGGTACAAATCCGTGCGGCTTTATTTATTTATACAATAATTTCGAAATTCTACCTAATTAAATAGAAATTTCATTGCATTTAATGTTCAGCAGTGTAATGGATGCACCCACATGGGGGGATATTTTCCCTGAATGTAGCTTGTTTTTCTGTTGGCTTCTGAAAATTTGTGTTGAGTATACGTAATGAATTAGTGGTGAAAAAAAACAAGATTCCAATTCTAACGTATTTTTTTCCAATTTATTTAATTTTGATGGGATATTATTACTAAAATACAAAAAGTAACAATCATATATTGCAACAGAGGATGTATTCGCCGGAGTCTCAATCAATAGAAGAATGTCGAGTCCTTCAGCTGTCATAGTTTGGAAGATTAATTATCGTTTAGTAATTACGTTTTCTCCATTTAACCTTCGGACATTGAGAGCGCCTACTTTGAGTAGCATATTGTAAGCTAATTTCCGCTTTTTATTCTTGTGAATTATTTGCATTAGGTCAAAAGCCTTGGGAACCCTAGACCGAAAGTCCTTGAATGTATTTCCAAGTGCAAGAGATGTTTCTCGTTTCTGCCAAACATCTTGAGCTCTTACAAGCTTCCTTTGCTTCCCGTGAACTTGTTAAAAATATCGCCACAAACGACGTCTGAAGGGGTATTTTCATGGGTATTTATATGGAAAGCATTTGGGGGGGGGTTCCGCTCTTCGCAGAAGTAATTCTACAAAGGTCCCGGGACGCCGCTTGACGGCACGGTCGAAAAGTTCAATGTGAAAATTGGATCCTGTTGGCCCTATCTGTTTTGGTGTATGGAAGAGGTATGATCGTTTGAGTTAATTGTTTTTCACCTAGTTCCTTTGAACCTAATCGTTTTTTACCTAGTTCTTTCTTCCCTAGTTCCTTCAGAGCCGATTTCGTTCCCATCCGTGCTGGATGATTCGTCCCAGTTAGCCTCTTTCATAATGTAATATTCGTCGTTTCCCCTAAGGATTGCGAATTTAAGCATGTAGGCATATTAATGTACTCGGGATATTTTGTTTTGATATTCATTTCCGGGCATCTCTTACATCACCCGTCATTGATGATATCGAAATATTATTGGTGGGCATGGATATATATATATTTAGAATTTTCCTTATCCCGAACCAATTTAGATCATAATATAGAATTTGTATCCAATAATACATAAATATAGATTAAATTCGTTATCGGGCCGGCAAGTTTGAATAGGTGGTTTGATTCGAGGGTCAGATTCGGGGTATGATTCGCGGCTTTGGAATTATATTATTGGGTTCTTTGGACTTCCAATAGTGGGCCTACATCTGCGCCATGAGGCAACAAAGAAACAATATCTATTGGTTGTTGGGCAGACTAGGCAATGAACTCTTCTACCAAGACCCCACCCAAAGGCAGGACCCTTCTGACTACAATGGTTTGCACACCAGTGGCCCTCTGCAACATACCCCCTAGGTACAACACAATAGCTTCAATATAATGTAGCCCAACCTGCTTATTGTAAATGGAAGCACCCCCATTTCAATTCACAGGTAGCGTTCCCAAATTCAATTCAGTGCGATGATTGGCAAACCGCCACTCTCACCAGGCACACTTTTTTTCATGCAGAGCAGCTAGAACTATCGATCTGCTGGGAATTGGCTGAATCCTCTTGGAGATTTATTGCCAGCATTCGGTTTTATTATTCGTTTTTCCTCTTATTATGAATCTTCCTTTTTCTCTTTTCGTTGTAATATAACTAACCCAGGGTCCCGGCGATTGATTGTTTCTCCCTCTGCAAATTATTTTTGTTTGGCCCACCGGCGCTGCAAAAGAGATATGGTATTTTTTTCTGTCTGCCGAGCTCGGAAGGACCTGCGTCAATAGTCCAGGGAATTAGCTAGTTAGTTAGTTACTTAGTTAGTTAGTTAATCGGAATAGTGCTAGTATGAGTAACAACTTAGCTTAACATAATATTTTTTTCAATCCACGTCCGTCAAAGGTGGAGAAGCATCGGCATTCGCCAGAGGAATGTCAATTTCGCAATGCTCTGCAGTTGGTGCTGAAGGGACCACTGTAAAGTCCTCCTGGGGAGCATAAGGTCGCAACTTTGTGGACTTCTAGGCGAATTTTATTAGTCCAGAAACGGTGTTAGAAATAATTCATTCGGGTATACCCGTTCAAATATACACATAATTTTGTCAAATGATATCTATCACCGGTGGTTTGAGCTCACAACTTCCCGATTCGGTCGGCGGCATGCTTGACGCGTGATTGCCCATGTCAATCGGCGTATGACTTCCCATTTCAATCGGACCAATTGCTCGCTCAACCGCTATATTGATGGCCTTGTCCTTTAATTTTTCGACCCCAAGAATGGAATCTTAAATCAAAGGATTGGAATAGTATTTATATCTCATTCTTCCACCTAGTGTTTTTGGATTTAGATGCGTACTAAACATTCCCTCACAATAATGGTTTTTACGAAACCTGCATAAAGATGTCAATTCTTCAAAATTATTAGCGTTCTTTTGGCAAAAATCCAACAATTCCTTCGGTGCTATTTCTAATGAACAAATGGAAAGAATATATGAAAAAATTGATATGAATCGCGGTCAAAATCAATTATTTATGCTAGGTATATGTTTGATCGTTATCGTTTTTTGGGAAGACCTTCTCGATTTTCAAACTTTTATTCGACCAGATGCTTTTGGCATTCGCATTTACATTATGGACGCATGAAGCGGAGCTACCTACTCGCTGAAATCAGCTTCAAAGTTCGCTTGTCAGAAGCGGACAAAAGCATTGCAATCTCGAGTGGGTTTGCGAAATTTGGTGTACCTATCTCTATCTTAACCTTTATCGGCCTTCTGTTTGCTAGGATGTAAAATGCATTCTCAAAAAGAATGGCTAGACCAATGTCTTCGATAGGCAATCTAATTTTTTTCCTCAGTAGGCTCTAGGCAAGTGGCTATGAAAGCTAACAACATATCCAGACGGTTATCGGCGAATTATCGATTTCGTTATCGGCGTAATGCCCACATAGAATCCGGATTTTTCAAGAAATGGTTGCAAATTAAAAAAGAAAGAAAAAGGCAACAAACATATTAATTCCATATCATATGGCTAAAGCCGCCCACTAGGACTTTCATTCGATATGCAACAAATAATGCAAACATCTATCAAGAATAACAATATCATTATATATAAATTATCGATTTTAGGGGGAACAATCTT